ACATATCATTTTACTTTATATCCACAATGAGTAAGTGGCCAAAAATGCAGAGAATTGATGGTTAAACTTGGGACGTTTTTATCCCAACAAAGACCGTTTGAGGCCAGTACTTTGCATACTGGTAAGTGTCGGAGCAAAACCAATTCTCACGAAAAACTTTTGCCTTTAGATACGTGCTCAACAAAGCAAATGAATAAATACGACTTTTGTAGTTCAGTTTTGTTTTGTAAAACGATCATTTGTGCATGAAGATGAGAGGGGAAAAAAAGAGATGAAAATACGAAAATAATTAATACACAGTGTGTTTCGGTCTTCCTTAGTTTCCTGAGGGCATTCCGGTGTCTTGTCGACGCGTCTGAATCAAATCATAATAAATGTAACTTTCTTTATAAAAGCATGCTTGCGTCCTTGTTAAACACATGTTTTTCGGCTATGAGAGGCCAGTCATCATGTTTATTTTTCATTTGAAACATCAAAGTAAGAATACTTGTACAAAGCTTTGCCCTTGGACTTACTTTGTTCACTATGCTATTAAACATACCAGTAATAAAATTTATACAGGTATACACTAGATTTTTAACAGTCATATAATTATACACTACCAGCTTAAGAACACACTAAATATCTAAATGAACTTGTCCATATTTCAAGCTGGACAAAAAACAGTCATCAATTTTAGGTAAAAATTTCTAAAGATATACTCAATCCTTGATTAAAATATTTTAACGACAGATATTTATTGAATTCTATGAAATTTCTTACTAAATATGTCTAATTTGAATAAAAATTCTTACTGAATATGTCTTATTTGAATAAAGCAATGAATGAATAAACTATGTATGGGAAGCTGCATTCCCTATTACAGGTCAGATAAAGTTGGTCTTTTCCTTTCGATTACTTGTAAAAAGGCATATTGTGGACAGTACTTCATAAATAAGGTTTCACAGATTATTATGAAAGTCTGTGTTCCATACATCAGGATAAAAGTGCTTTGCCTCAGGCTTGGAAACTACTCACAATTGTCTATATCAATAACAATTTTCGTCTACAGGATTAATGTTGACATAGTATATGAATAACATCATCAATTCTATAGATTTCCCAGAAGGGGAAAAAAAGAAGAATAAACCTCCCCATAGCAACCACTACAGGGGTCTATCTATAGCAATAATCAGACAGCCTTTCCATAGCCACAGTCAAAGAACCTTTTTATAAGAACTATCATGAAACCTTTTCATAGCAACCTAGCATATAGCATTTCCTTAGCAACAATCATAGAACCTATCCATAGCAACTATTGTATAACCTCTCCGTAGCAACTATCATAGTAGCCTGTCTATAGCAACCATCTTTTAACATCTCTATGGCAACAATCATAGAACCTCTCTATAGCAACCATTGTATAACCTCTCCACATAGCAACTATCATAGTAGCCTGTCTATAGAAACCATCTTTTAGCATCTCTGTGGGAGCAATCATAGAACCTCTCTATAGCAATCATCACATCACCTCTCCATAATTAACATAATATAACCTCCCCATAGCTACCATCATTATAACCTTTCCATAGCAACCAACATATAACCTCTCCATAGCAACCTTCATATCGCCTTTCCATAGCAACCATTATATAACCTCTCCATAGCAACCATCATATAAACTCTCCATAGCAACCATCATATAACCTCTCCATAGCAACCATCATATAACCTCTCCATAGCAACCATCATATAACCTCTCCATAGCAACCATCATATAACCTCTCCATAGCAACCATCATATAACCTCTCCATAGCAACCATCATATCACCTCTACATAACAACTTCATATAATCTACCCATCAAAACAACTATAGATCTTTGTTTCCCATAGCAACCTTCACAGAAATACTGTAAACATCTTCTATTCAGACTTAATTGAAATGATATTGATTAATTTAATTACTATTATAATGATGAAATAAATGTCTGGTATACGTAGTTAATTTGTGCTGACTTTGGACAGTGACTCAAAGGCATGTGATTCAATGCTCAAGACATATGCTATCATTATTAAAGCAGCACATGACTCGACATTCATGCTTATTGTTTCATGAAATTTTTCTTGAAAATGTATTTAAAACTGTATCTAAAAGTAAAATATTGTGAAGTGAACTAAGGAAGTTATTAACTGATTGCAAACGGCCCTTACAGTCCATGAGAAATTACCAAAAAAGGTAAAACTATACACAAATAGCTCTTAATTACTGACTTAAGTCACAGAGCAGAAATATGGTGAAAAATACTGCAAAAACTATCATTAAATGACATATTCATGCATGTGATTACTTGAATCTTGAACCTTTTTACTTTTTCTTAAATTATCTTAGTTCCTTTTTTCTAAAGTTCGATTTTCTTGTATTATTTTGGCTTATCTTGAAGCATGCAGCTTTATGATTCCTTTTTCAACAATTAACTCAAGCAATTATTAAAATAACACTATCCTTTTCAGTGCTTGTCAATAAAATCATAAATGTCATATTTCTAGTTACGGTTGTATTTGTTGATTAGAAGGTGCAGCACAAAACAGCACCACATGACAAGATACTGTTAACATTGCATCCATTTTATCAATAATTATACAGAGAAAGTGGTTGAACTTCCGGGGTTAAAAAGTGATCACAAATTCTTTCAAAGTGAGATTTCAATGAAACTCTCGTCTTAATGAAATATAAAGAACAAGTTTAAAGACGGTGTCGAAATCTGGAAATAATCTGGCAACAACAAAAAAAAGCGCGTTGATCCTTATTGGTCGAGACAATCTTTTGGCGATTCTGAAACAACGATCACACCTATTAATGCTAAATAAAGTATCGAGCAGTAAAATTATGAGAAAATTGGTGAATTCCCAAGACTTAAGCTGTTCCCAGTCTCTGTGCATGACAACTGGAGATTTTACCGTGATTGAGTATGCATAGATTCGGAGGAAAATTATATTATCCCCAGTAAATTATATATCCCACGCAAGCTTTCCTAGTATCGGAGACCTTTAATTGTATATTGAAGTTTCACCGTGTCACAAAAAAAATTGGTCTTGAGAAATTATTTACAGTCGTCTTTGAATGGTGTATTGAGAAAATGAAGGAAAAAAAACCCCGACCAGATCGAATTAAAAGAAGTATCGACATTTCAACACACCAGAGAAGTTATTCCAAGACTCAAAAACTTGTGTTTCAACCTTCAGAGGCTGTTAACTGACAGTTTTAATCTTACACAATGTACATTGTGCTTTTATCTAAATGTTTGACCTAATTTATATGGCAGAATTACTTGGTAGAAAAGAGGTTTACTTTAGAAAAGGGAAATGCTTAAAGTAATAGTACCTTGTAGTCAAGTAATGGAGCGAAAATTTTTATATAATGTTGTCGTAATGAACGTAACCAGGAAATACAATAAACTATACAACCTTGAAGGAAACACTAACTTTGTGAATAAAAATAGTCACTTGAGGACAAATAATTCCAAGGTTGTCATTTAAAATTTTCTCAGAAGGTCCGTTATAAATTTGCTGCAGTCATTTGCAGTCTGTTTGGATTTTAAGGCATAAATCTGAAGCAGTCATTTTTTAAAAACCTAAATAATGGTTTAGACTGCACGGACGTGCAAACTCGCCTATCTAACTGAGCAACCTACAGTGCCACAGCCCGTACAGACTGGTACAGAGTTCAGGCTAGCCTGATTCTATACTAGTGACAAAGGCTTGTATAAGGTAATTATGCAAAATACATAGTCTGGTTTTACTTATTTTCTCTTACTAATTTTCTTCTTAAATAATTTATAACATTATGCAAGTTGTATATGTAGTTACAGTATGACTGTATTAATGGATCAACAATCAGATAGTCATGCATAACTGTAGCCAACACTATCAAACTAGACCTATCACTGAAGGTGATTAATACCCCCACCAACAACTTTGACTTTTTGAAAAAAAAGTAGTCTGAAGAAAAATTTGAACACAAACTATCAACTGTGTACAAAGAAATATTTCAATTAATTGTAATCACAACTGGGGTCTCGAAATAAGCTTGCTATACACCAAGTTTGATTACAATATCTCATTCCTAACTCTAGTTATTGTCAGGAAACCATTTTTTCTATTTTTAGTAACACTGTAACAGTGACCTTGACCCTAGGGGGTCCAAATGCAAAACCAATCCAGGTCTTCATATAAGCTTGCTATACACCAAATAAGATTACAATATCTCATTCCTAACTCTAGTTATTGTCCGAAAATCATTTTTCGTAACGGTGACCTTGACCTTGACCCCAGGGGGCCCAAATGCAATACCAACCAAAGTCTTCATATAAGCTTCCTTTACACCAAATTAGATTACAATATCTCATTCCTAACTCTAGTTATTGTCCGGAAACCATTTGTCTATTTTTCCTAATGGTGACCTTGACCCCAAGGGGTCCAAAAGCAATACCAACCCAGGTCTTCATATAAGCTTGCTATACACCAAGTTTGATTACAGTATGTCATTCCTAAGTCAAGTTATTGTCTGGAAACCATTTTTCTATTTTTAGTAACAGTGACCTTGACCTTGACCCCAGAGGGCCCAAATGCAATACCAACCCAGGTCTTCATATAAGCTTGCTATACGCCAAGTTTGATAACAATATCTCATTCCTAACTCTAGTTATTGTCCGGAAACCATTTTTCTATTTTTAGTAACGGTGACCTTGACCTTGACCCCAGGGGGTCCAAATGCAATACCAACCGGAGTTTCCACATAAGGTTGCTATATACCAAGTTTGATTACAATACCTCATTCCAAACTCTAGTTATCGTCCGGAAACCATGATGTGGACCGACCGACGGACCGACCGACAGACCGACCGACAAGCTGACTCCTATATACCCCCCCTAAACTTCGTTTGTTGGGGTATAATTACCCTAAAGGAAAAAGAAACAAAGAAAAGCATTATGAAGCTGAGCAACAAATAAAGGCAGTACCTTCTTTCTGTCCTCCAAACCAAATGGATTTAAAGTGAATGATGTCATGTGACTCTGTATACACTTCTCATTGGCTGCTTTACCAACTATGACATCATCGATACTGCTTCCCGGTCTAGAAATCTTTGCATTACTACTTGAGCCCAAATGAGAGGGGACTTTAAACTTTGTCTCTCCGATTGACAGGGTATGATTGTCAGACACGGAGTGCCTTGATGCCCAGACAGATAAAACCTCACTAGATGACATCACCGGCTCTTCAAATACAAGATGAAACTTCAGCTCATTCTGAAAAATAAATAAATAAATTAAACACACAGCAAAATAAATCTCGCCAGGGTAGTAAACAATGCACATATCAATGATGTCTGACTGTCTTTGTATGTCTAACCATTTAGTCTTACATGTTTGTCCATCTGATTGATTATGTCTTACCGCCTGATTATACATGTCTAACCATTTCGTCTAAAATGTCTTACCATTTGGTCTTACATGTCTTAACATTTTGTCTTAAATAATCTTACCATTTGGTCTTACATGTCTTATCATTTCATCTTACCCTTTTGCCTTAAATGTCTTACCATTTGGTCTTACATGTCTTACCATTTCATCTTAAATGTCTTTCCATTTTGTCTTGAATATCTTACCATTTCGTCTTAAATTTCTTACTGCCTGATTGAACATGTCTTACCATGTTGTCTTAAATGTCTATTTGGTCTTACATGTCTTACCATTTTGTCTTAAATGTCTTACCGCCTGATTGTACATGTCTTACCATTTCGTCTTAAATGTCTTACCATTTCATCTTAAATGTCTTACCATTTCGTCTTAAATGTCTTACCATTTCGTCTTAAATGTCTGTCCGTCTGATTGTACATGTCTTACCATTTCGTCTTAAATGTCTTACCATTTTGTCTTAAATGTCTTACCATTTTGTCTTAAATGTCTTACCATTTTGTCTTAAATGTCTTACCGCCTGATTGTACATGTCTTACCATTTCGTCTTAAATGACTTACCATTTCGTCTTAAATGTCTTACCATTTCGTCTTAAATGTCTGTCCGTCTGATCGATTATGTCTTATCATTTGATTGTACAAGTCTGATTGTGTAAGTCAGACAATGTCACCGACAGCACACAAAGGGTTCAAAACTATTTTTCTGTCATACGAAAAAAACAGCATTATTCCAATTATTTATAAAGCAAGCTGTATAATACGACAGGTGACCTTTTCTATGCTCTTACTAAAATTTTTATGTCTATCAATATTTTTTAAGTAGATATAAAGATCATGAGGGATTAGAGTAATTCTATTTCAATAGAATTCTCTTGTCTGGAAACATAAATAATTCAATAGACTTTATGCAAAATAATGAACAATAAAAGATGGTGAAAAAAGGTTTCATTTTTGTCTTTTAAATTTTTCATTTTTTTCAGAATTGTTGAAGAAAACCTTTTTGTACTTGGTAAAATTAAACTTTATATACAATGAAATTTCTTTACTTGTGGATATGCTCACTGTGGTTGAATCATTTTTATAAAATTTCTGAACTTGAAGAAAAAAATTGCAAGAATTTTAAGGTATACATAGTGTTTTGGAAAGCTTTAGCATACAAATTAAGCTTCGAGAATTTGCATGAATTTTGAGGTGTCATGCTTTGTAGAATTTCAGCATAAAATTAAATTTGAGAATTTGCATGAAATTTCAGGTGTTGCGCTTTGGAAAACTTAAGCATAAAAAATAATTTTAACCAATTTTTATGAATTTTCAGATGTGCTTTGGAAAAATTTAGCATAAAACCAACTTAAACAAATTTGCATGAATTTTGAGGTGTTGTGCTTTTAGAAAACTTTAGCATAAAAATCAACTTGAATGATGGATAGCCTACATTTAAGCTGGCGGCAGTTTTATGTTCATATTAGGAATTATTGGGTGTAAATGAGACGGTCCTTCAAACCAGTTTCTCTCTGACAATTTATCATTGATTGATGCACATGCTAGAAAGCACTTTGTTTTAAGTGACAACAGGTTTCAGATATTCTTGCAGATCACGTAAAAAAAAATGAAATCCTGTTTCACGGTCATGTTCTGTGCAAGTTCAATATTCTCTGCGACAATTCTCTGCATACCAACTGACAACAGCTTATTCTACATAAAAAAATAACATATTATTTCTAGGACTGTTTCTCAGAACATGCAATGTGTTTTCTTTAAAAATTTAGATATTTGCTTCAATCTGTTTTTTTTTTTTTTTTGGAAATTTTATAGAAAACTTGTGTAACATTGTACGGCCAGGACTATATGGATAAGCATAACTTATAAAGAAGCTTGCATACAAGAAGATTTTTTTAAATGATAAATTAAAAGAATTGATTGACAAAATGAATGCTATCAATAATGAAAAGTTTGTACAAGTATCTCTTAAGCTAATGTCATCTTTTAAAATAAATATAAATTTCTTTACAGAAACAACCACAACATTTTCTAATTAATACAAAACTTCTTTTTTTTCATATCCCAATAAGACCTTTCTTGTGGCCAAAACATACAGCCATTGTAGAATAATATACGGGTTCTTTATTTTTGGACAGAAAAGTCAGAATCTAATAGTGATGTCATATTCCTGTCAGATTAACAGTAACACATTATAACACTTCACAATTTTAAAATCTTCAGTTTCTATAGGGCATTGCAAAATTTGATCATAATAAAATTTCTAGAAATTTGTACCTACCAAAATCAGTTTGTTGACATTCTTAATGGCATTGTTTATCATCTGTTTATGCATATACTTGAATGTCTCGTCTTCAACCTCGTCCAGGTCCATTGTTCCCTTGATGATGCTCGATGCCGTGGCAACCACAAGCTGCACCAGATCTCCGGTTGGCGTGAGCTCATCTTGGTATACTTTCTCTGCACCCACACACACTGACTCTAATATCTTCAGGGACAGATAGAGGGAGCTAATGTCCAACTGAAAAAGAGAGAAATAAAACATATGTAGTTAAATATTATAAAATTGTAGACAGGAAGTCTTAATGATAAAACATCAAACAACTCCTTACAATCTTTTGACCTGTGAATCACAAATAACACCAACATGCCCTTTCAATGGTGAAAAGAAGATAAATCTATTTTTAGATTCCGTGACCTTGATCTTGACCCAATAAACCAAAAATTCCACAGTCATAGAAGACACCAATATCTCATGCAATAAAATCTGATGCAACAAGTAATGAAAAGTTTGTTTCTTTGTAGGACAAATCTGCAACTTTTAACTATATGCTCCACAAAAGATATAGCATTAAAGGACAAAAATGAACACAAAAGGTATAGCATTAAAGGACAAATATGAACAAATTATGGAAAATGACATAATATCCAAACAAAAAAAATCAAGATCAAGGTAAGAAAATCAAAATTAGAAGAATTGGCAAGTGATTCTGATCCAGTGCTAATTTGCTGGAACTTCATTGAAAATTTTTTACAGTGCTTTGATGGTGGTGAATGATTGTAGGGTACATCAAGATATAGAAGAAACAACAAATGTGTCCAAAAGGCTTGGATGCCTCCATATTTCAACTGTTTTGTCAATCTACTGTTGACTGTGTGACAGATGGACAAGGGTAAATCTATTCCCCTCTCCACCAAACTCTAAGCGGGGGCATAAAAACTAACTGCAGAGTATAATGAATTTTAATGATTTTATGAAAACATGGTAATGTGATGAATTGTCAATAACAAACTTGCATTAAATTCTCGAATAAGAATCAATGGCAGCTCCATTTTCGCTCATTAAGAATGAAGATAAAGAGGTTCATATTTTAAGTGCTTTTATTCATATTGATTATTTCATTTCATTACCAAGAATTTACGATTTATGCAGTATCTTGAACTTTGTACAATAAATTGATAAATTATACATGTACTAATAGACTCTGGAATTAAGAATTATGTTTTTTTCCAGCTAATCCATAGGTACAAAGCCTTGAAAATTAAGCTAAACAGATTGACGACTAATCTTTTGTGACGGGTAGTGCGCCGTGAAGCTATAACGGTAAAAGTTTGTTTGTACCTAAGAGTTAGCTGGGAAAAACCCACATTTGCCGAGTCCCGGATAATGTCTATTGAGTACAAATAAATGTATATCATCGCATATCTATGCTTTTGTTACAATTATTGTCTATGTCCTCCCTAAGGGTAGTGACAAGCTCGTCTCTCAATGCAAAGTACTATTACAAATGCACTTTATTCTTCCTCAGGGACGTTATTATTCTGCATCATTTTCCCGCCACTAAATGAATAAACCATAAATAACACAGCTTTAACAAACTATATCCCATCAAATAACTATAATTTTTTCCGCTTTTCCCATCACGTAATCCCAGTTGACTCGGGAAATTCCAAAATCAATTCCAAATTAAATTCTAACTCCACTTTTAAACACATCTACAGACAGGAAATCTGTTACTATTCCCATTCTGTCGATTCTAATAGATGAACTGTCGACAGTTTTCTTCTAATTAAGACCTTTAATTTCTGGCTGCTAGCATTAAAGCCTAGCAACAATGGAAATCCATAAAGTCTACTTCTCAATTCATCTACACGATTAAAACAATTAACCTTCTGCTCAAGTTGATTTTTTTTCCTTTCCAAATCAATAATGAAAAGTGAAAAGAAAAAGAAATTTACATATTCTCAGAAGGCAGGATTTATTGCCTAGTCTATCAATTAACACGATTTTAATACAATTTCCATGATAGGTTATATCTCCGTGTATATGGAAAATTTCCAGCCTAACTTTTCTCACTTACATTCAGTTAATTCTCATGGAAACTTGGCATCCGCTGTAGAATCTCTAAACATTTTCAAAATTCGCAATTTTCACAAATTGGAACGAAAATCAGCATTGTTTTTTTTGCGTGTAAATATATATGGCTTAGACTTTCAGCTGACAAAAAAACGTAACTTCATTTAATAACATGTAAAACATGTCCAATAAGAGAAGTCTAAAGAAATAAGCATACAGTGCTTTCAGTTTTGAATACAGTGCTTTCAGTTTTGAATAGTGTTACAGTGCTTTCAGTTTTGCAATCTTGTCCATGTCCAGCTTTACTGCTGGAAGACCTTAGATGCCCCTTTGTGTATTACTTCAGGCACAAGCCTTGAGTAGAACAACCAACCTTTGTACTAAGCTTCCTGACATAATAAAAGGGATTCAAACCTGTTTTAACTATATACAATTATATAAAGGCATTGAATTTTGAAAATTTACCTTTTTATATTTAAACAATGCTGAGGTATCTAATACATACATCTCTTTTTTACTTAAACATAATTGATTAAGGATAGTAAAAAATCTTAAGAGGGACCAAATGATAAGGAAAAAAAAATTTGTTATCAATTTCTCACAATACTGATGTTTATTTGCATATGAGCCGTGCCATGACAAAACCAACGTAATGGGTTTGCGACCAGCATGGATCCAGACCAGCCTGCGCATCCGCGCAGTCTGATCAGGATCCATGCTGTTCGCTATCAGTTTCTCTACTTGTTATAGGGTTCGTAAGCGAACAGCATGGATCCTGATCAGACTGCGCGGATGGTCTGGATCCATGCTGGTCGCAAACCCATTATGTTGGTTTTGTCGTGACGCGGCTCATATGTATGTGTTTTGTTTGTTATGTAATTACCTCCCTTTAGCCCAGCTTTTGAAGTCCTGTTCATATTGAACAGGAAATTTTGTCATTTCCTGTCCATCTATTATACAACCCCCCATCCCATCCCATTTTCAAAGTTTTATAACAACAAAAAAAATATAATCACATACTTTATATAATGAGAAATAAATTTAAGATTTTTTTCTATCTAATTAAGATAATAATCTAGCCGCTAATACATCGCTAATACATCGTTAGCATGATCAACTGAAATTATTTCTGACTGGACACAATCTTGCAACCATCTCACAATCCATTGAAATGAAAAAAAAACAAGAGGTGAAGGAACTTTTTTTTCTGGTTCGCATGATGGAACTATTTTTTTTCCTCTCCCCTCATTCTATAGAGTAGTAATTTCCTGTGTACTCAACATGATGTCTTTTATATACGAGACTTGATTTGCAGTCATCTCACTTCAAATCAATCCACAAGGGGTTTACACGACTTATTTTGTAATTAATCTATAGAAAACGAACACGAGAGCTGAGGAGCGATATTGGTGTTCGATACATGGAGTGTATTCCTACTCAATAACAGCTGTAGTAATACCACTAAAGCTACTTTCACATTTTTCATTACGTTCTATATATGGTTTTCTTATCATTAGATCCTTTTACGTTTCTATTTTCATGTTTAGACTTGTAAGTGCCGTTCACTTCTGTATCATTTATTTCTTATATAAATCAAAGCATTCTCATATTCTATTTCGTACCGTTCAATAATTCAACAATTTCATTTCGCATGTATATACATGTAAACCTTATAATACACTTAAGTGTTGCCAGTAAGTTTATCCTCCATACAATTTCTTTGAAAATCGTATTTTGAGACATTTGCGTGGTTCAAATTAATTCCACCATTTCATTTCTCTTACATATATTTCTTACATAATATTATATTTCTGTTATATGTAGTATTATATAGTAAGACTGCTAAAGGGCAAAAAGGAAAACCCATGTCAATATAAGGTAACTAAAATGGTACCAAGCACTCATTACAAATCTAATCTATTTTCTTCCAGACATATTTTGAAATATAATTTGTTGCGTTTGTAAAATAATTTGTATGTATGTATGTATTCAAACATACATCTGAGTAAGTACTCAGTATATAAAATCATACTAAACAATAAAATCTATGTACTCATACAATAATTTCTTTATATATATGTTCATTAGACAATAATTTCTATGTACTCATACAATTCTTTTTATATACTCATGCCACAATTTCTTTCATATAATTCATACAATAATTTTTGTTTACTTATACATGTACTCACACAAAATTTGTGAGTATATATTCATACAATGATTATTATGTACTCACACAAAATTTGTATGTACTTATACAATAATACTATATATTTCTTTTATATATTCATACAATGATTGTCATGTACTCACACAAAATTTGAATGTATTCATACAATAATACTTCTTTTACATATTCATACAACAGTTGTTAATATAAACTCCTACAAAATTTTGCATTTATATAACTTGACACTGACCCACAAATCAAAATTAATGTTTTCAATTGATCTATTTCATTTTGTTCTTTTTTTCCCCATTTCTAAAAATAAATCCTCACAGTCAACAATCTACCACTCTTACCACCAAGACTAGTGGCAATAACTGTGGTTTACCTCATCATTGGTAAATAAGCAGGAAGATTTGAACGTCTTATTTTATGACATAATCAAATCACACGGAAATGTGGAGTTCTAATTTTCTGTCACCATCTGCTCATTACATAATTATAATCCTCATTCTCCCCATAATTCTACAACATGTTATTAGGATAATAAACTGACACTTTACATAGACTGAAGATATTATTTGTAATTCTGTATTTTTTTATCCCTTACCACACAAAAATTCTTATATGGACATATCCATGTTTCAATCTGAACAAACCATTCATAAATACCATAAGGGAATTTTTAAAAATTTTTTGTTGTTGTGTTGTTTTGTTTGGTTTTATGGTGCACCAACATAATTCAGGTTATATGGCACCAAAACAGGAAAGATGGTTTTGACTTACATTGGGTGCTACAAACTTTAAAGCAACACCAGGGGTCAAAACCATCTCACCTGATGGAGCTAAGAAATACATAGACTCCAGTCTTTCAAAGCCATTTTTAAGGGAAAATTTCAAGCTATGCACTGACTGAAAAGCTCAAAGTGCAGACCATGATCAGGTTTCACAGATATGTGCTGGCTGATTCTACATCTGTACATGCTGCATGTTA